ACGGCACCGGTGTCCAGGCAAGCCGCATCCTCCCCACTCCAGCCAGGTGCTCTCGGGGTCACCCGTCGGCCCCACGGTCCCATGCTGGGGACGCTGCCAATGCCGGGGCGGGCAGCACGCCTGGCTCAGTGGCCGCATGGCACCTGGTGCCCCCAGTGCAGCCGCCCAGCATGGCCGGGCTGCAGGGTCAGGGGCTGCTGCCCCGGCCCTGTGGGCAGCAGAAGGGGTCCTCCCTCAGCACCCTTAAGGGCACCCTCCTGCCCCATGGCACACTGCATGGCAAAGCCCACGGTAAAGTGCACGGCTCCCCCAGCATTGCACCTCGTGGCTTGCCCCATGGCTCACCCCATGGCTCACCCTGCAGTGCACCCCCTGTCTCAGCCCAAGGCTCACCCTATAGTGCACCCCACAGCTCCCCCATGGCTCACCTCATAACGCACCCCACAGCTCACCCTGCACTGCACCCCATAGCTCACCCCATGGCTCACCCTGCCGCCCACCCGGCCAGTACTGCTCACAGAGCTCCCCCACTCCAGGGACCCATTGCACCAGTATAGACCAGTACAGACCAGTGCAGACCAGGCCTCAGAGGACAGCAGGCACTAGTAGGTGACCTTCCTAACCCACAGGAGACGGTTCTTCCCTGCAGGGTTTGCAGGCGCCAGGCAGAGATGTGAAGTAACACAGCTGCACACAGGTGTGTGTGCACACACCTGTAGACACACACACACACACACACACAAACACACACACAGAGGTGTGCACACATACGCAGATATAGGCATGCATACACACATGCATGCACAGACACAGGCGCATGCGTGCATACAGAGCGTGCACACAAACATGCACCCACACACTTACGATGTACATGCCTGCACAACCACGTGTCCACACACATCCATGTAAACATATGCAAATGTGTGCCCCCACACAAGAGCACACACAGCCCTGGTGCACACACACACACATGCACACATGCACACTTATGCCAGCAGACATTTCACACGAGCACTCTCCAATGCTCCTTCCCCTCCAGCACCCACTGACCCCATCCTGCTTGCACATTCCCCCCTCATCCCAGGTGCTGTGCATGCGTGTGCGTGTGCCCACTCACGCATGGGGGTATGGGCTCAGCTCCCAAGCGCCTGTGCTGGGGGCTCCACGTCCCCACTGGTTCCCATGGTGATGGACCCCCATCCTCTGCTGGCACCTTGAGCGTGCAGCAAGCCAGGGCTTTTGTGGCTGGCTTTAATTAGAGGCTCTTAAGTGTGAAACAAAGACAAGGGCAGGGGCTTGGGGGATCCTTCCTCGAAGACCCGTCCTGCGTGGCCGGCAGCATGGGGCAGCTCATGGGGCCGGTGCCAGTCCCGGGCACGGCTGGGTGGCAGGACCCTCCCACTGCTCCCAGCCCCAGCATCACCCACAGGTGGGCGCAGGCCTCCTTGTGTCCTGGTGAGAGGCTTGGAGTGGGGCCAGAGCTGCTATTTCTGCCCCTCACTGGGCTGTGGGCACCCCAGAGTGCCTGGGTGCCCACCAGCATCTTCCAGTGCTGCACTGGGATGAGTCTGAACAGAACTGGGGGGATCAGAGACCCTCTCGGCCAGGCAGGATTTGGGGGCTGGGAGGACTCCTGGGTCCTCCCCCACCCCAAGCAGCTCCCGGCGGGCTGAGGGTAGGAGCCCTGAGGGGGTCTGGGTTTGCTCTGCTGTTCTCAGTAACACCCAGTCTGTCCCCCGGCAGCGCCCACCCCATCCCCTCCCCTCAGGCCAATGGGACTGGTGCCAGGATGGGGGTCCCTGTTCCTCCCAGGGTCCCCTCACTGGTTCCATCTGCTCAGGCCTGTCCCCAACCCCAGAGCCCCAGCAGGGGAGCTTTCTAGGGGGGACAGGACCCTCTTGCACCCCCAGCAGCCCCTGGGGACCCGGCTGGGAGCCTGGCCTGGTGGACGAAGGGGAATGAAGGGATTTTCTGGCTGCCCGGCGGGTCCCAGCGAGGGGAAGCCCGTGAGGGGGCAGGACCCAGCTGGCTGCCTCTGGGGGCTGTTTGGAGGTGCCCTCTGCCCTCCCACCCAGGCGCTCCGAAGGGTCCTTCCTGGGGGCTGGTTGGCAAGTTGGGTCTGGGTTAGATGGGTTTCAGCATCCCCAGGAGGGCTCAGCACCACATCCCCGTGTGTCCCCAGTGCCCAGAGGTGCTGGGAACCCCCCTGTGCTGAGCCACCAATGCCCGGGAGGAAGAGAAGCACGGGGACAGCCCCAGCCCCCTGGAAACGGCATTACCTCACCGGGTGATCTGCACCCTGCCCCATATGGGGACCTCATTCCCAGAGGCAAGAGGGTCCCAGCATGCCCCAAAGCCAAGCCCCAGTGTGCCAGCAGCAGCCAAAAGGGGGGGATTTAGGAAGTGAAAATCCACGTGGCTGCACTGACACCGTCCCTAGGTCCCCAGCTGGTGGCAGCCCCCCCCCCCAGCACGGCTGGGGCTGCCAGGAAGGTCACCAGTGCGGGGCTACGCCGGGGTTTAACACAAGCCAGACCCCCTTCTCAGAGCCGCTAGCCAAGCCCCAGTGTGCCAGCAGCAGCCAAAAGGGGGGGATTTAGGAAGTGAAAATCCACGTGGCTGCACTGACACCGTCCCTAGGTCCCCAGCTGGTGGCAGCCCCCCCCCCCAGCACGGCTGGGGCTGCCAGGAAGGTCACCAGTGCGGGGCTACGCCGGGGTTTAACACAAGCCAGACCCCCTTCTCAGAGCCGCTCATGGGGCCGAGGAGAGGAGCCGGCCCCCGGCACGCCCCGGCCCTGTGAACCAGGCGGGGGGCAAGGGGGGCCGGCCGGGG